TCTCATTTACTATGCTCTGGAGCAACTGCACTTGGAGAGTGCAACTCTGTACTTGCAATGTGCACAGTCTATTTGCCTTTAGTACATCAACCCCACAGTGTACAACATAGAGGTATGAGGTGGTGTGTGGTTTGCTGCATACCGTATGCATAGTGATTAGGCACTGTGTGTAATAAGCATGTTGCAATGTCCATAAAAGTTGGGCATTGCTTACAATATAGAGGTATAAGGCACTGCTTGTGATTCAGAAGTATGGACCACTTTATGTAACAAGTACATATGAGGAACTGTGTATAATAGAGGGATGTAGGGATTAGCCATTGTGTGTAAAAGGCATTATGCAATGTGTGTAAGAGAGAGGCTTATGGCACTTGTAATAGAGGTATGAAGAACTACATGAAATAGAGAGGTATGCGGCACTATATGTGGTACAGAAGTATGAGGCACTAGATAGAATAAAGTATGGGGTCTCTGGGGCTGTCATCCTACCTAGTAAGTCACTGACCTGTAACAATTATGTAGCCAGTGAAGTCTTATAAGGCTGAACTCCTGACCTGTATACTTATTTCAGGACTGTGCCTCATTTAATAATCAAGCCAGAATCAGTATGATTCCGATCCCATCTCTCAGTATTGACAGCTGCAAAATTTCTATTTTCACATATTCCCTTTAAAGTCAGAAAAGGCGACAAGCGCATTTTTGCAAACACACTTATGAAGCAACACAAAAAGCAGCCAACATTTTATAATTATAACAACATTTCTGACTCACAGGCGTAACCATTGTAAAGACATCCACTGAAGGGACCAACCTTGTAATGTCACAATTCCTGTCGCGTGTCTGCTGCACATCACAATAGATATTTGCTATGCCCCCACAGGTATTCGTCTTCATTCAGAGTTAATCTAGTAAAAGGCTTTTACATGTGAGTCACAGCAATATAATTGCTCACTTCCTCCTGCTGTAAATGGTACATCATTTATTTATGTAAAGGTATAAGAGCAACATCTAGAATTGGTTGACCTGTGCATAAGGGATTGTTCCAAGATGTCTCAATGTAGTAAGTAATGGCGATCAGATGTAATTATTAGGCCTGTGTGCAAAGACTAATAATCCACAGAAACCAATCGCAATTCATCATTCTCAAGTGTGGCATCAGTAAACTGAAATCCACCACACACACACACTCACTATGTAGCGCCCTCTAGGTAAATAGGATTTGTTGTTTTTAGTCAGAAGCTCTACAGGACAGGTCAGGGCATCTGGAGCCCTCCCACCCTTCCAGAAACCTCTGGCTCTTTCAGGAAGAGGGGAGGAGGCCAAGATTTGCAAATTTAGGGGAACTTGGCCAATCCCCAAGCAGGAGGCTACGCATGGTGGCCAAGGTCAACCCTTAAATATTACAGAGGCTATGCAGCAGGGGAGTCAGGTGAAAGATGAGCTGAAAGAAGGTCCTGTTAAGTGGAGCCCCAGGGAGGGGACCCTACCTACAGGCTGGTTGCTGGAAAGAAGATCTCCACTGTGCCAAGTCTCCTAGGGAGGACAATCCTGTCAGCATGGAAGGATCCAGACCAGCGTAAGGTCTGAAAGCAGCTGTGACCCACCAAGCTAACAGGATAGGACAGTGTGAGTACTTCTACACCCCCTGGGCCAGGTAAAGGGAGGTCAGGTGCATAACCCAACTAGTTCTCATGTTGGACTACGTAACTGGCAGATCTTGGAATCCCATGCCCAGGGATACCCTCAGTGCAGCTGAGTGAATGAGGAAGGCTTCATCTGGGGTCTGAGGAGGTACATCAAGGGGACTTCAGTGCTCCTTAAAGAGACAGAACTATTTTTGCTGATCCACATTTTTTTGTACAGTATACAGTTTGCTAAGATGTTTGTTCTCAAGTTTGCAGTTCCTTGGACATCCCATATACCCCTGGACCCCCATCCAAGTTGTTAAACCCTCAAGAAAAACAAACAGCCCAAGGACTGTTCTATTGACTCTGCGTATGAAGAGGTGGAAAATATGTGTTGCCTGGCCATGCAGAGCTTAGGGGGGACCCAATAAAACTCAGCAGCCCCTGGGGGGGGGGGGGTAGAGTTACATGTGTATAAGAGAGAGAGGGATGTCTGTTGACAGTACTACACTCAGTGGTGTATTTAGGTTTTGTGCTGCCCTAGGCAACACAAAAATCAGATTACCCCTCCCCGGCGGAGAGAGCCTGACACTGACCGACACCAGACCCCCCTCCCCACGGAGAGAGCCTGACAGTGCCCAACAACACCCCTGCCCCATCCCCACCCCCAACTGAGAGAGCCTTCCACTAATATCCACCACCCCCCCCTTCCCTGGTGCCAGAAAGAAAGACACTCACCTTTACAACTCTGGACATCCCCGGGAACAACACTTGGGCTCTGCATACACCATCAAGCAGCCCGCAGCCTCTCCGGTCCCCATGCCACATATGTCCCTTCTTCTGGGGGTCAGTGCTGCCCCCCTAAAAAATGCCACCCTAGGCAAATGCCTTGTTTGCCTTGTGGTAAATACACCCCTGACTACAATGCCATGGTTGTGGCATTTCTACTCTATTTATGAAAGCTGAGCCAAAACCGTAACTAAAGTAAAGTAATTGCTCATCAATCTATTGTTCAATCTATTGGAATGAGACCGGTCATTATGGTCAAGACAGTGTTGTGGACTCTTCCTACATGATAGAGATTGATAGTATAACCAGAAGTATATTGTTTCTCCACCTAAGACAGCCATACATGGCATGAAATTCGAACTTTGGATGGCCCTGTCAGCACCACCTGACTCAGAGGAACACAAGCTATGAATGAAGAATGGGCAGATAAATGAAAGGTCCACCTCCTCCATTCATAGAATGCTCTTCATTCATGAAAGCTATAAACTGGGCAGCCATAACATTAAGATAACTGACAGGTAAAGTGAAAAGCATTGGGGTTGATTTGCTAAAGGCAAACAGACTGTGCACTTTGCTAGTGCAGATCAGGGGCGGACTGACAACTCATGGGGCCCCCGGGCAATAGGGGATCATGGGGCCCCTGTGTCCTTGACCACACCCAAAAAAGCCTATGAAAAAGCCAAGGAAAGGTACCAGGAGCATCTCATGGGGCCCCCTACTGACCCCGGGCCCTCGGGCAGTGCCCGAGTGCTCGAATGGTCAGTCCGCCCCTGGTGCCGATGCAATTGCTTATGGGCTTAGTGAAGGAGGGGAAGCTCTGCTGACTTCCATCATCCAATCATGTGCTTGCAAAAATGTTGTTTTTTAAAAAATGTTCCTTGCATGTGATTGGGTATTCTTTGTAAAGTGCAGCTTTACCTAATTTACGAGGCTCTTGAATAAAGTGCACACTCTGTTTGCCTTTAGTAAATCAACCATACTGGATTTGACTAGTCCCTTACTATAGTGCTATTCTGTAAATCTTCACTCGGAGCTACATTTCTGCAGACGGTCTCCCCATACTCCACTGGTGGCAGCATTGAGAGTAAAACTGACATTTTACAATAAATATTCTGATTATTGTATTTGTTGCACATAGAAACTAGCCAGAAGGTACATTCATTTTATAATCCCCTGGCAGCATCAGATTGGTGGCGATGGGCAGCACATACACCTTCATCTCTAGGAGTGGTGAAATTTTCTGTACACTGCTCTGCAAACATTGCTTATTACAAAACATACTTTATTCATTCACAGGGGAGTAAAAAATACTCCATTCCAGGGGCGGACTGACAACTCATGGGACCCCCGGCAATAGGGGATCATGGGGCCCCTCTGTCCTTGCCCAAACTCAAAAAAACCTATGAAAAAGGTACCAGGGGCATCTTATGGGGCCCCCTACGGACCCCAGGGCCCTCGGGCAGTGCCCGAGTTTCCAAATGGTCAGTCTGCCCCTGCTCAGTCTATGCTGGATATTTCTGCCAGAAGCTGGCAAAAAATCCAGCATAATAAATGTGCGTTTAGAAGTGTATGTGTGTAAACTCATTCTATTGGGTAGAATATTTATTTATTCTGGCCCCTGGAAATAGTTTATGATCATTTATGCATTTTTGTGCGTAAATGATGCCAGTTAGCTTCTCTCTGAATACAGGTTTGGGGCATTTCTGTTTTTTTTGTCCCTTAACACCGCTCAAAAATATGAACCTAAACACCACAATGTACATGGACACATTGGGGTGGATTTACTAAAGGCAAATGGGTTGTGCACTCATCTGCAAGTGCAGGTGCTTAAGAGCTTAGTAAATAAGAGGACGTTCTGCTGACTTCCATTATCCAACCATGTGCAAGCAAAAATGCAGTTTTTTTGTATTTTCCTTGCAATGTGATTGGGTATTCTTTGCAAAGTGAAGCTTTAGCTCATTTACTAAGCTCTGGAGCAGCTGCACTACCAGAGTACGACTGCACTTGCAAAGTCACAGTCTTTTTTGTCTTTAGTAAATCCACCCCACTGGCTGAAATACAGCTACGTTCAGAGGCGTAAAAAAAAAAGAAAAACTGCCTATAAAACATGTCACAATTTTTTACCCACAATGCAATATGGGGATTTTGCCATTCCTTGCAGCATGTTGCATCGCTTGCATGCTCCCTTTTGTGTTGGGATGCTATTGAAAATTAATGTCACTGTTCTACGTCAACTCATGTAATGTTCATTGCTGTAATGCACATGCAATCAGAAAGATTCCATGATGTAGGATTTTTAATATTTTTACGGCTCAGACCTCTACACCCAGGAACATTCTGAATGGCACCCCAAAGCGCATTCACAGTAAACAAAGTTGCACCAGCGCTATAGCTCACCACAACACACAGATGCAAATACACACAGGAACAAACATTAAACTGTAATTCTGTACATGTACCAAGAGGTTAGGGCCCATTCACATGATTGCATTATGGGTATACTGTATGTATGCTGTGCTGGCCATTCTGAACGGCACCCCAATGCACATATACAGTAAACAAAACTGCTTCTGTACTATAGTGCACCACAATGCACAGATATGAGCAGGGGCGGACTGACCATTTGGAAACTCGGGCACTGCCCGAGGGCCCGTGGTCAGTAGGGGGCCCCATGAGATGCCCCTGGTACTTTTTCATAGGCTTTTTTGAGTTTGGGCAAGGACACAGGGGCCCCATGATCCCCTATTGCCCGGGGGCCCCATGAGTTGTCAGTCCGCCCCTGGATATGAGTATACTGCGTGTTATGGTGTGTTGCATTGTTTGAGATAGAGCACTGAGGTATGTTGAAAACCCATTTGAAAAAAATAGACTGCCCTAATGCAATGTGCACATTAAGGCCTGTGCATTATTGTACTGTGGAACTGTGTGAATCCAGACTGAAAGCCCAACTCTGAGCAGATAAAAAATGATCCCTTACGGTGGAGCGGTGCCCGCACTGCAAGGGTTAATAGCTCGTTTTGTCCAGGGGAGAGGAGAAACAGCTTTACTTACTGGATCTTCCACTCCCGTGACTGGAGGGGTGCCCCCACAATCCAGTGCTGGACTGTCCCTTCGGCATCCTAATGTCCAGAACAGGGCTTTGGACCCTGCTTTGGTCTTGATGACATCACAACACTAGATTGCTAGAACACAGGGTTGCAGAAGTTGTAGGGACCAGTCTAGTTGTGGGAAGGATCAGAGGATCTGGTAAGTACAGCATTTCTACTTCATTGTTCCTCTAGACCAGTGGTTCTTAACCTTGTTGGAGGTACTGAACCCCACCAGTTTCATATGCGCATTCACAGAACCCTTCTTAATTGGAAAAATAAAATATGATTTTTAAAATTCAAAACATAGGTATATATTTAGGTATATATTTATACATAGGTGCACAAAATGAACAAAACCGTTAAGAACAAAACCATTAAAACATGATTTTCACACAAAAACAAAAACATAATAATGAATATTTACTGTACGAATCATATGAGTCGGGTGTGGGTCTTCACCTCTGCAGAACCCCTGAGACTGACTCACCGAACCCCTGGGGTTCGATCGAACCCAGGTTAAGAACCACTGCTCTAGACATAAAAGACGAATGAATCCTTTCAGAGCAGACACAGCCCCATTACAAGGAATAATTTTTAATTTTCCCAGAGTTGGGCTGTAACCTAGCCATACATGTATAGCCCAAGGCTGGCTGGCTATTGTATTCAGACAGGCAGTATCCATGGCTGTCAGAATACCCGTACATTGATTGCATCTAATTGGGTACAGTCACTGTTCAGCTGACAATTTTCCATCCTGTTCCTTGGAGCTGGGAGGAGGGGGGGGGGGGGGTTCTGACAGGGCCACCCACAGCTTCAATTATTCCTCAAGGTTTGGCCAAAATTCAAAGCGTCTGTGGCAGCCTTTAAACATATGGGGACAGCACAAATGTTAACTTTCAGAAAAATCTGTGAATAATTGTTTTTAATTATTACAAGATTTTATTTTGGATATACATATTTCTCTGTGAACTACAAATCTCACCTTTTAACCTCAGTTCCTTGAAATAACATTTTGCAGGGTGGTGTATAGTGTCCTGCCCCTTCATAGCACAGCCTGAGTTCCTGTAATTCAGAGACAGAAAAGGCCAGCTGATAATACAGGACAGGAGTGTTCAGGAAGGAAGATGCAGGGCTCCACTACGCTTCCACACATGTGCACATTTTTTCTTCTGTGTTGCTACACACGCCCATGATGTGCACAAATATTTACTTATTTAATTGGTGAGTGATGGTAATCCTGGCCTGACTGTGAGGAGGTACAGAGATTCTCCAGAAGGGCCACACCTCAGCTGCCGAGGAGCCAGGGACACTTATTATTTAAGGAGCAAACAGCTGAGGTAGTAGGGTGGAGATCTGACATCCCCTAACTACATGGTATGTGGAAAATTGACATTCCATAAGGCAGCTTCTCAGCTGCATCCTACATCCAGAGTTCTAATGTCTCTGAAAAACTTGTGATCTTTACCAAACTGGAACTCCATGACTTTTGTTATGGGGAAAAACTTGTGTTAACTTAATGTGGACCTTCACACTGAAAGTAAACTTTCCTCCTCTCCACCCCCACCTTCTGTGTTACATGAAAATCCCCCCACCACTTTTTTTATTTTGCACACATTCTGGCCTGCCCTCCATCCTATATTCTTGCTTAGGCAAGAATGACATACTGCACCCCCGGTACATGTCACATATCCCAGGAGGCCTCAGCTTGGGTGGTTGGCCTGGCAGCACGTCATTGGAAGGTGACTACCTGAACCTGAAAAAGACAGCAACCTCCCAATGACATCACAGGGGAAGTTGGTGGTACTGGTCCTGAGTGGTGGCAGTGGAGAAGATGATCACAGTAGGACAAAGCTGAATCTTCTGGGTGGGTAAGTATCTGAAAAGTAGACACTGGTGCAACACCTCCTGCATTCAGGGACCCAGATCAGTATAGGGCCGATGGACCAGTAATACTAGAGTATATGGAAGTTCGCCTAAGACCGATCAAAGGTTGTGCAGCTCCAACATAAAGCTGGGGAAGCTCGATACAAACTGTAGTAGAGAACAAAAACAGAGTGCACCAACCTTGCGCATTACCTCAGTAAACAATTAGTTAATTTATTGATTTAGGAGATATATTCACAAAAGTAGCAATATAACAGGCATATATAATCCAAAAACGAATCATATGATAAGGAGACACGTGCGAATCCCATCGGAAGGGGAGTCTCTCAGAGTGACTCTGATGTGTTTTGAAGGTGGGGGGTCCCTTCTTCATCAGAGCTCTATTACGGTAAGTATCTGAACTGAGGACAAGTGAAGTTCCTGTTTATCGAGGTAGTGCACCTAGCAGGAGGATATGCGAAAATGCAGAAATTCGAAGCCACCAATGAAGTATCAATAGGACCAAAGAATTCTGATACTGGTTGTTATAGGTAGTTGCTCTTTTCTCTTTGCTTAAATGCTTGACAGTGGCATAACTATATTCCTCATTGGAATATAGTGGGTGGATTGGAAACAAGTGGGTGGAAGAAAATGATCTAACATGGTCAGTAGGGAAAAAATGGTCCAGCAATGGTGGTCAGTGGGAGGAACAATATGCCCTGGGATAAGTGATCAGTGGGGTGGAAAATTCCCTTGGCATTAGTGGAAGGAATATTTTCCCAGTGTAAGACCTCATTCACATGGAAAGCATTAAAGCGTACACCCATGGAGGGCTGTGTTGATCTGCATGGAGATGTACAGGTGTTCTGTGCATCCCTGTGCAGGCAGACCCATTGATATCAACTGGGACACAGCAGCTGCACAGACACAACCACTGCTCCCCATTCGACATCAGTGTTTGTGCATGTCCCTGAACGCACACTGTGCAAGGGCTTAGCATAAATGCAATGAACCGTAATGCCTTTCTGAGGAAAAAAACGCCCCTATGTTGCCGGTTACTGGGTAAGAAGATACCCAGTGTTATGTTGGCCATACACTGATCGCATTTTGGGTAGTTTCTAATGAACCAACTGAAATTCGCTTCATGAGTAGCCCTGTTGGCACTTTTCCACATTACATCCCTATACTGAAAAACAAGCTGGGTGAAAAGTTATAAGCCCAACAGCAGCTGTGTCCACTCAGATGCAGTCGCTGTTCACACATATTCAGCACCAGTTGTCAGAATACAATAGCCCCAGTGAGAGATTCATCCAACCTCGATGTATAGTGTGGGTGGAAGAATCTGTTGGATTTTTTTTTCTGTGCAGCCCGGAGGCTGAAAAATGTATGTGTGTATGGTCAGCCTAAATGGTTGGAAAATACTCCCCAGCCATGTGAGGAAGGACATCTGCAGTTAGTTTCAAGTATGAACTCTCACATACTGAATCTGTGGTCTTTAATAGCTGACATTTAAAATCAAAGTCTATTTCAGTTCCTCTAAAGTCGGATCTATAGTATCTTTGTCAAGTGAGAATAGTCAATGTTGTGAAGCTGTTGCTGTTTTTTCCCTGGAAAGTCCTCTTCCTTCCAAGGATACAAATTAACAAGTTCTTTTTCCTCCTAATCTTATTGATTTCAACTCGACATATCCTCTTATCTCTCTGGTGCCTGATGCCAAAATAATTACATTTATCCGACTTTTCCCTGACTCATGAAATAACTGAATAGCGTTCCTTCGCCAAATTCCAGATAATACATTATAGCCTATTACAGTATTGCTTGTAAGAATGTAATGTTACAAACTTTCAGCTTTAGGAGAAAGATCTTTTGTTAGAAAAATCGTTCAGCTGGCAGGTCACACATACTGGACATGCACAGCCAGCTGTTGTCCGATGTTTGTAGGCAGCTCTGGTCAGAACAGCAGTGAATGCTAATGGTGAAGGACCCCAAAAATACTGAGCTCCAGGCAGAACGAAAATAGGCCATTTCATAAAGTTGTATAAAAAAAATTAAATGGATTTTTACACAAAAATAGCTTATGTATCTAGGTCTGCTTCTAAATTAGTTTCACTAAAGTGCTAGTAAATGCTCAAACTTGATGTACCTATAGGTAAGCTTATAATAAAATAAAATAACATATAAGTGAATACAGCGCCAAAAAGAAAAAAAAAAAAAATTAAAATTAAAGTGACAAGCTGCTGAATCTCACCCTCTAAAAAAAGGTAACAGTATAAATCAAAAAAGGTAGCGCTTATTTAAATCAATCACATCATAAATAAATAATCAAACCATATGTTGTGAAAATGATAAATAAATCAAATAATTATATAATTAAAAATCCTAAATAAATGTGCTCAAAAAATGTCTCTGATATCTTTTCACATCGTTTTATTTTGAAAGATATCAGAGACATTTTTTTAGCACGTTTATTATACAGTATTTATATAGCGCTAAAAGGTTTGCTCAGCGCTGTATTTATGATTTTTAATTATATCATTATTTGATTTATTTATCATTTTCACAAGCTTATAATAAAGCTTAGTAAATACGACAAAGCTCTGCTGATTTTCATCATCTAATCATGTGTAAGCAAAAATGCTTTTTTAAAAATATTTTCCCTTGCACATGATTGGGTGTTCTTTACAAAGTAAAGCTTCACCACATTACATTTACTAAGGAAAATCAGTGCAACTGCACTTGCAAAGTGCGCAGTCTATTTGCATGTAATAAATCCACCCCATTGCGTATATACTATATAAAAAGATGTAGCGTGCAGGAATTTGGTGTGTGCTTTCTGAAA